TTCAAATTACCTTGAATTTGATTATTTAGTTTTATATTTTGTGGTTTGCTTTTCTAAAATTTGCCAATGGTCAAGGCATCTTGTAACGGAGAATTATGGTTATTGAAATGAAAATGATGCTAAGCATCCTTATCCCTTTGTTCTTAGATTGTGTCTAATACCTTTTTTGTACTTCCCTTTGTTTCCTTCCTCCCCGACTCAACTCGTTAAGGGTATCGTAAATATTCCATCCCCTTGCTTTACATTATAGTGTTAGAGTCCAGCTTCATCCTAAAATTCACCATCAACAAATCGACTAGATGATGATCTTTGATGTGGTGAAGATTAGTTTCGAGTTGTTATTGGAATCCTTAATAGAATGTGTTTGTATAACGCTAATTTCAATCTATACTTAATCGTTGTTTTTTTTCCTTAATGAAGAATACTAGTTGTTTGTACATTTAGATAGATTGAATAAATGAATGAATTTTTTTGAGATTGGTAATTGTTTCTTCTTAGATCCAAGTTGTGTAGTTGTGCATGCATTGCCCCAATATTGATTTGAAATCTAATCAACATCCAAATAACTTTTAACAAAAGCACCATCGATCTTAAAATCAATTTAATCCTAGTAATTAAATAGATAAAATTTGAAAAAAAATCTACAATAATTAAATTATTAATCATATTCGGGAAGAGAGGAGGGTAGGAATAACAGGAATGAATGAGGATTAGGAAGGCATGATGAATATGTTGGGTTTTTGGACTAATTTTCCGTTGTTAGTGTATTATGGGAATGCTGTACAATAGAGTAGATACTGATCACATTAAGAAAGATTAAACCACATTGCTTTATTTATTTATTATTTTTTTTCTTTTGCTTGCATTATTATTGTGAAGTCATGTCAATGGCCTCAAGTCAATGGAGATGGTTATTATGTTCTATATGTGATACCAGAACTAGTAGGAAAGCAATGAAATACTCAAAAAAAACTTTTATTAATGTACAAAGAAGGTTACAACACAACAGAAAATAACAACACAAAACATAAATGACCTCTAAGGCGTATTCCAATGGCGGTGGAGGTCGTCTAGGTGGTTCAGGATGGTTGACAAGGGTGGTGGTAGCAAGGGAGTGTTGATGGGAGCGAGGGGAAGGTGCAAAATTGCGATGACAACAAGTATGGAGGGTCGCGGGCGACCTGCTGTAGCGGATTGGTGGCTATAAGGTGCTGGACGACAAGGGCAGCGGGAGTGGGGTGAGGAGCAATCGATTGAGAGTGTTGGGAAGGATAGAGGAAGGACCAGATGGTTGGACAACCAAGGAGGCTATAAGGGAACATAGTGCAGGTGCGGGGGTGGGGCTGGAATGGTGGGACAATAAGAGAGTGCTGATATAGCGAGGGGAAGGTGCAGAATTGCGAGGACAACAAGTATTGAGGATTGCAAGTGACCAACAACTGGCAGATTGGTGGCTATAAGGTGTTGGGCAGTAAGGGCAGTGCAAGTGGGATGAGGAGCAGTCGATTGAGAGTGCTGTGAATGTTAGAAGAGGGACTGGATGGCTGGACAACAAGGCCGACGACTATGGGTAGTGGAGGAGAAGGGTTAGAGAAGACAACAAGGGGAGTTACTTCACCATCTTGAAGTGGGATACAACCAGAGGACCACCACCTCCTCGGATACATCCCACAAAGGGAAAAAGACTCCGCACAGGATTTCTGAAAGCAAACATATCAAAACTCCCCTCTTACAATCAAAAAGCAATAAGTTATACTCTTATATGAAGAAGAAAATAACAGAAATAAAGAAGGAAACTCCCACACAAAAGAAAGGGGTGGAGAGACAAGAAATATCCTTAAATTAGACAGTCCCACCCTCCAGGCGACTCGACCTGGGTTTACTTTGCACCGTTCACTAGCGGGAGTTCTTGTTGAGGGGGACCCCGCTCACGTACTCCCGTGGCCGCTCCCGTGCTTCCGTATCAGTTTCTGCTCATGCATCAGTCTCCCAAGTTTAGGGGAGCTTCGGCCTCATTCGTCGAAACTTCTAGTTCTCATGGAATGACGTCAAGTCCCCTGGTGGGTTGATAATTTCGGTATTGTCATTCCACAACACATTCCGGTAGAATAGGTATCCGTCCTCTTCTGGCACATCCTTAGCGGACGCTGAATATAAATGTGGGTTCCCGCTATGCAACTCTTAAGACCTTACATTTGAAATTTTCTCCTTCCACTTCTCATGCATGGCGTGCGGTGGTCAGTAACAATTATGTCAGGAGAACTCAATTTTGGGATGAAATCTGTGGCAGGCCGTGCCGCTCTCAGTAGCGACCACTTAGGTTAGACACCTTCAGTGATAGGACTTGAATCCGATTGAAGAATTTTCACCCGCCTCAAACTCTTAGGGCACATTTTGAAAGCTGAGGTTCATTACTCATGTCTGGACATCTGCTGATGGGTACTTTGCTGAGCTGAATCTAACATTTGAAATACTCCCCGTAATATTTCAAGCATGACAAAATGAATCCTCTTCGAACATGTTGGACCTCCCTCCGTAGGGCCAACTCAGGAGGGGGTCTATAAATCTGAAATATCTGCATTTCCCTTATCTGTGATGACCCTATATCTGATGTCGGCTCCTCAAACTCATAACTCTTGTAGACATCCAAGGTCGGGTCTGCTAATGCTCCTCTCAAAGTCTGCAAAATATTAGCTCGAGGCACTGTAATCTCATACACTGCTAGACTGCCCATTAACTTCGGGTCACTATCTTCCAGGGACGTGAATGTTACCTCAGCTGCAATCTCTATCTCGTGGTCAATTGAAATTGGTGGTGTCTCTTCCTTATGCTCAGCTGGGAGTAAGTGTACCTTGCTCTCCTCAACTGGAAGTGGGTTATCCTCATTTATGTCCTCATCGTTTTCAGTGCTACGGTGTCTTCACCCAACTTTTTGATGACACCCTGCTCGGCAAGTAGATCACTCCCCTCAATGTGCGTTCTGCTCCAATGTGTCTAAAGCCGTGACATTTGCTACATTTTTTTGCTAAGTCAAACATTCAATTGGTTTCATTGGATGGTAGCATGGGGGGTCGCTTGGTGATGCTGTCCTTCCACTTTAGAAACTAGAATTTGCAACTTTTGGCTGTAATAAGTTGGTAAGAATTGACGCTGTGTTTCCCGCTTCATCTTCATATCTTCTCGTCCCCCCTTTGGCCTTTCGGATCATGATCGAGGATAGCCTCCCATTGGATCTCATCTTCTATGTCCGTAATCCATCGCTGAAATCGGCGGATCTCTTTTCGTATCTCCTCCCTTGAAGGCTCGGGTATATATCTCAATGGCGATATGGCTAGGGATTAAGGAATAAGAAAGAAAAATTTTGGTGAGGTTAGTGTTCAAGTTGTGGAAAGGATGATATTTGGTGGTAGGAAAGAAAGTTTTGGTTTATGTGGATGCTAATGAACCCTAGGATAGGATTAGGGTTGAGCTAGCTCTGATACCGAATGATACCCAAACTAGTAGAAAAGCAATGAACTACTTAAAACAAACTTTCATTAATGTAGAGAGAAGGTTACCATACAACACAACTGAAAATAACAACAAAAAACATAAACGACACATGCAAACACCTCTAAGGTGCATTTCAAAGGTGGTGGAGGTTAGCTAGATGATTCAGGATGGTTGGCAAGGGTGGTGGCAGCAAGGGAGTGCTGATGGCAGCGAGGGAAAGGTGTAGAATTGCAAGGACAACAAATATGGATGGTCGCAAGTGACCAACGACAGACATATTGGTGGCTGGAAGGTGCTAGATGACAAGGGCAGTGGGAGTGGGGTGATGAGCGGTCGATTGGGAGTGTTGGGAAGGATAGAGATGGGACTCGATGGCTGGACAACCAAGGAGGCTATAAGGGAACACAGTACAGGTGCGGGGATAGTGTTGGAATGGTGGAACAACAATGGAGTGTTGATGACAGCGAGGGAATGTGCAGAATTGTGAGGACAACAAGTCTGGAGGGATGCAGGTGACCGGCTACAGGTGGATTGTTGGCTCAAAGGTGTTGGACAGCAAGGGCAGCGGGAGTGGGGTGAGGAGTAGTCGATTGGGAGTGCTGGGAAGGATAGAGGAAGGATTGGATGGCTGGACAACTAGGTGGGCGGCTATGGGGAGTGGAGGAGAAGGGTTAGGGAAGACAACAAGGGGAGTTACATCACCACCTCGGATTAGGATACAACCGAAGCACCACCACCTCCTCGGATGCAACCGGAGCACCACCACCTCCTCATATACAACTCACAAAGGGGAAAAAGACTCCACACAGAATTTCTGAAAGCAAACATAACGAAACTCCCCTCCTACAATCAGAAAACAACAATTTATAGACTCTTACATAAATAATAAAATGAATGAAATAAAGAGGGAAACTCCCACGCAAAATGAAGGGGTGGAGAGGCAAGAAATATCTAGAAATTAGCCATTAAAACACTTCCATATGAAGAAGCAGAAAAGGAAGGAGGAGAGCCCCATCAAAATCCCGCCCCTAGGCCGTTCGGCCTATATTTACCCCGGGCCAGCCCTAATTGGGCAGGCCGGTTCACTAGCAGGAGTTCCTGTTCTTCTATGGCCGCTACCACAACAATATGTATTGATTAAGAAGTTGATGAATGGAATGAAGATTCAGAATCTAGCCTTCATTTCAAGAACCATGAAAGCGAGTGGTTTTATTCTTCCTTGATCAATTCCTACAAAATTATTTGGGTAAGGTTAATATATCTCCTTGGAGGGATTCCAAGTAAATCTGGCTTCTATGCATCATATTTTTTTACTTCCCGTAGTTCTTAATCAAGAAGATTTAGTAACGATTTATATATTTTTACTTCATACTGCTAAAATCTAATCTTGAGTTTTTACCCAGTGATAAGGTAGCCTTTGTACAGCATATGTGGTACTCCTTAGAAAATTGCACACAGCGTATTTTTTTTGCTTATTATGAGATTTTTCTACTCATGATCTTATGCAGCTTTCAAACATGACATCAGATGTTCCATACATATTACTTCTATACCAGGCTGAAGAATTTTGTGATCTCGTAATCACGGAATCCCTCGTAGATCATGTCCATACAGTTAGGAGCCAGTATCCATTATTCACAATATGTTATCTAACAAACAAGCTGATGAGTTACATAAATAAATGGTGAGTTCTGGTTGTAGAATCCCCCTCAACTTGTTATTATTTCAGAACTATTTTTTCATCAAGTTATGTAATTGGAATCTTGAATTCAGAGTCTTAATTGATTCCATAGTATGTAAGTTTGCTACAAATTTATCACTTTTTTTGCACTCTTTGAATAATTGAAATTTTACTTTTAAATTGTATATGTTGTTTTATATGTCGGTTTATGCTGCCGTTACTATTGAATGCTGATTGTTATTGTTATGACACTTACTGGATTATCTTTATAATCCATGTTTATGCTGGAAAGCCATTTTTATCTGTTATTATAGAATGATAATCTCAAATCACACCAGATCAAAATGTCACATGTCAGTTTTTAATGGAGCTGAAGGTTTTCTTGATTTCTGAAATAAGAATGTCTTATTTCAATACATATGCTTGAGAGAAATACCCCAATCTTCTTTCAATTTATATTTAGGGGTAGTTTGGTACGATGTAAAATAGCTGCAAAATAAAATAAATATAGGTGATTTAATTTTTTGTTGTTGATTAATCATCAATAGTAAAGTAAAATGAGACCCCCATCGGATTATAAAATCTGAGAACAGGCTATAATCTCCGCATTTAAAACCCGGCCAAAATCATGCGTAAAATCATTTTACCACGTAGTTGCTCGCCTTTGTCTCCCTCACACTCGCCCGTAATTTTGTGTGAAAGCCTATCATGTTTCATACTTTCGATTGGTTACTACTACCTCGCTCATGCTTCCAACTATCATTCGCTGTTGATATTCCATCTATTCTTTGTCTCACCACTTCTATAAGTTAATTTATTGCATCAAAATATTTGCTTATGTTTTATATATCTGTAAGTTTTCGTAAGTTTATTGCATCATGAAATTGTTGTGGGAACGGTAGAAGAAGCCATGGGGCACTGTCTTCAATGTGATGCTTCGTCTTTGTCATAATAGATCCTAGGGCTTGGCTGCAAATAGGATCGATGACAGTGGAAGTGGTTCAGGAATTAGGAGGGGTTCTCTACTTCAATCATGCGGCTCAAGCGGGTGGTCGACTCCATTGTCATCAAGATGAACGGCTAGGATTGAATCGGAAGGGGTAGCAAGCTCAAAATGCTTATTGCTTTCATCGATAGCCTTCTGGACAAATATGAAGCTTGAATTTGTTTTTATTTTTCTTGAAATAGGATGCTAGATCCATGAGTTCTCACAGTTTATAATTGTGGCATACTCGAGTGCAACTCCTATGACAGATTCCTATGTAATTGTGTTTTCATAACATAGAACTTGCATTGACTGAAAGATTAAAAGATAAAGATTAGCGTTAGATAAATAAGAATTAGGTGTTATGTACGTAAATACTTTCTTTTTTTAATACCTAAATAGAGGAATTAGGTGTTATGTATATATAGAAATTTTTTGGAAACTCATTGTAACTTTCCGTTACCGGGAATGAAGAATCGAAGAGCCAAAATGGTGAGAGAGGAAGTGAGAAGTCAGGTATTCAAATAAAGGAGAGGAAACAGAGAACTGAAGAAGAGGAAGCGAGAGGAGGAAAGCTAGGAAGATGTATCTGTTTTATAAATCACGCAACAAGGCGACTTTTACCAACCTGCAGAGACCATAGAAGAGGTATTGCAGTCTCGAGCGGGAGGAAACATCATCGGGCAGAGAAGAGGTGGGAGGTCTCGATGTCGGTGTCGAGCGGAGGAAGACGTGTCTCCGCTATCGTGCAGAGGAGGCGACGAGTGCGGGAGTTCCTATGCAGTCGATCCTAATGAACAAATCGAAGGAGGAGAAGAGGGGCGGCGTCGCTGTTTGGCGTCGACATCTCTATCGAGCTTAGAGAAGGAAGTCGTGCCATCTTCGTGTGCAGAGGAAGCCGCGACCAAAGGGAAACTTTGTGTTCGGGCGCCAATGGTTCGAAGGAGAAGGTGGATCGTGGAGGTGGTACCGATTTCTTCTGCTTTGGGAAGAGCCACGCGACCAAAGTCATGAAGAAGAAGAAGAAAAAGAAAAAGAAGAAGAGCGGGTAGGGCATATAACAGAAGTAAGATATATTAAATTAATTTCCCATTAAAACTTATTAATAATAATGATAATAATATAATACTACTTATTAATAATAATGATAATAATATAATACTAATAACATTTTTATTGAATAACAATTTTAACGGGATTTCATAAATTTAATACTTACATAGCTTATTAAATTAATCAAATTTTATCATGTTTAGGCGTTCCATTTTAGAAGAATCAACGTCATGAGCAAGCAGATTATCTATCATTAAGGTGAGTACTCATTTTCTTCTACTACGGTGATATTTTGCTTATTCTAGACCGAATGCATTAGTCGGTACTTTCATTAGTTATCTAGTAAATGACTGCAAACTCATGATTTTAAATTCTAGTGGACTTATTGGTATGTGTGAGCATTATTGGATGATTTAACTGCTATGCAAAATTAGAAATAAATATTTTTTATTGAAAAATGATTTTCATTGGATGTTTGTATGTGCATGATTGATTATGATGGAGTTACCCCTAGGTGGTATTAGTGAGAGGACACTAAAATACCGTGCACGTATATAGAAAGAATATTGATATTGATGTGTCTTAATTGATATAATTTTTAGACGGTGCTTCTGTGACATTTGTATAGATGTGAAATGATAATAATATGATCTTGATATAGATTCTTTGAATAACATGTTAAATGTTTATATTGATTTATAAAGAATCTTAACTGACATGCATATTGTTCTTTTTCTTTGTATTGTTATAGTTTAGGAGTATGAGTATTCGCTGGTTTGTTTAGCTCTTAAACAAACTTTATAAGTTAATTAAGTGATTAACAATGAACGTTAGAAGAGATAAAGTTTATATAAGACCCGAACAACCAGTAACAAAGTAATTTTTAAATATGTTGCTTTAATTTAGTTTGATTAGTGGTTATTTCATTTATTAAATTGTAGACGAATATAGAAATTTAATTTCCACTGTCCGATCGTCCATTTCCCGTCTTAGTTAATTTCAAGCCCTGGGTCAAGTTGTGACAAAAGTGGTATCAGAGCAATGACTTAGAATTAATCAATACAATATTGATGATAAAGCGTATATGATAATTATAAAAAAAATTATAAAAAAATTAAAGTTAACTCAATGTAGTAGTTATTATCTATTCAGACATAGTGATACACCTGAAATTATAGAAGAATGGAGTTCGATGTAAATTTATGGATAGCTAATGTTGACATGTTTAATGAAAATTAACTTAAGGTTTGTTTATAAATTTTGATGACTGAATTTTTATAAGTAGGGAAGATTGTAACACTCCATTATCGGGAAGGAATGATCGAAGAGCCAAAAAGGTGGGAGAGGAAGTGAGAAGTCAGTTAGTCAAAGAAGGGAGAGGAAACGAACATCTGAAGAAGAGGAAGCAAAGGGACAGAAGCCAGGAATGCATATTCGCTTTACAAATCACGCGACATGGTGAGTTTTACCTACCTGCAGAGACTAGAGAAGAGGCGTCACGGTCTCGAACGGGTGGAAACGTCGTCAAACAGAGGAGAGGCAGGAGGTTTCGACGTCGATGTCGAGCGGGGGAAGAGATGACGCCACTTTCGTGCAGAGGAGGCAAGTGCGGGAGTTTTTGCGCACTCGATCTTGATGAACGAATCAACAAAGAAGGAGGTGAAAAGGGGCGCCATCGGTGTCGTTTCTATCTAGCTGAGAGAAGGAAGCTATGCCATCTTTGTGTGCAGAGGAAGCCACGAATGAAGGGAAGTACTGTTTGTGGGTACCGCTGGTGTGAAGGAGAAGGTAGATTGTGTAGGCGGTACCTATTTCTTCTGCTCTGGGAAGAGCCATGCAACTGAAGTCTCGAAGAAGAAGAAGAGCGGGTAGTGCATATAGCAGAGGTAGGATATATTAAATTTATTTAATATTAAAGTTTAATAATAATAATGATAATGATAATGTAATACTAATAATAGTAAAATACTTATTAAATAACAATTTTAACAAGATTTCATAAATTAAATACTTAAATAGTTTAATTAAATTTTTATCCCGTTTAGAGGTTTCATTTTAGAAGAATCGACGTCGTGAGCAAGCATATTGTCTATTAGTAAGGTGGTAATCATATTCTTCTACTATAGTGGCATTTTGGTTCTTTTGGACCGAATGCATTAGTTAGTACTTTAATTAGTTATCTGATAAATGATTTCAAACTCATGATTTTGAGTTCTAGTGAATTTTTGTTCATATTGAAGGAAGGGTATGTGTGCACATCATTATTGAATGATTTAACTACTATGCAAAATGAGAAATGAATATTTTTTATTAGAAAGATATTTTTATTGGATGTTTGTATGTGCATGATTGACTATGATGGAGTCAACCATTGATGGTAGTAGATGAAGAACACTAATATACACATACACGTATATGAAAAAGAATATCGATATTGATGTGTCTTAATTGACACAAATTTTAGATGGTGCATGAAATAATAATGATATGATATTGATATAAACTCTTTGAATAGCATTTTAAATATTTATATTGATTTATAAAAAAGCTTAACTGACATGTATATTGTTTTTTTTCTTTGTATTGTTATAGTTTAGGAGTATGAGTATTCATTGATTTTTTTAGCTCAATAAAATTTTTCTGTATTTACTTAACAAACAATCTAACAACCAACGACATACTACACTGTAATTATAATGCACTGTATTCTATTTTACTATGCATTTTTTTTATAGAGAACCAAACAACCCCTTAGTTAAACTATAAATGTATTGCTATTGATTACTAGGTCATTTTACCATTGCCCTTAGCTTTACAAAGATATGGCAGAAGTTTAGTTTTTTTCTAAAGCAATTTATTGATAAATATGATGTTTTATCTTAATCTTTGTTTCAACCATCAACCTGCATTGAATGGTACATTGGGCGAGGCTTTTGGGCATTCAATTTGATTATGGAATCTAGCTGTTTTTAATTTTAAATAGTCTATTAATTTTTTAGTTTATTTTCTTTAAATGTCAATGAAAGGAAATTTTGAAGAAATTTTCATTGTTTAAGCAAAGCCTGACATACGAGTGTTTGAGAGAAGAGGGGGAACAAGGGAGCAAGCGAGAGCAGTAAAATAATTAAATGGAAACGGGACAGTCTGAAGATCATAAACCTAAGATACACAAGTCTATGTAGTTTAGTGAGATTTACTTACATCCATGATTGAATCCGGATCAATTATTTAATTAAAATTTCAAGGATGGGTACATCAATAATTTGTCTTTGCATGAAGCTGAAGATAACCATTTTTACCATACTAATAAATGTGAAGACAAAACCACCAGCTTTGAAGACAAGGATTGAATCTGGAGAAGAAGATGTTATTTGCTCTTTTTGTTTGTATGTTGCCGGTGTTTCTTCCCATTGTGAATAAAAGCTTCTTCTTTTTATGGAACTGAAACTAGTAGCCCCTCTTGAATAAGCAAAAGTTCTTTCTCCTACAACCGCCCAAAGAAAATCCCCTCTTTTCATTCTCTCAGTTGGCAACTCCTCCTCTCTATCTTTTCCTCTTTATCTCTAATTGCTTGTGATTATGGGATATAAAATGTTTTCATTTAAGGCTCCCTAAATAGTGGTAACAAAGAATGAATTTGAAGATAATAATTTATTATAAGATCCCACATGATATTGGTAGATCTTTTGAAATCAACAGAATACCTCATAATATATTTCAAATTCAATAAATGAGCTTCCCAAAGATATTTACAATAATTTTTTTTGCAATTTTTGCTTCAATTATTTGAAGCGTCTTTCATCTCTAATTTGCAGTGAACAAAGTCGCTACAAGGATTCTTCAAACTTAAACGGTTGGAAGCGGCCACCTGTTGAGGAGGTCAATGTTAGGGGAAATAGTTGCTCCAATTTATAACTGCAAGAAAAAATGTTCCCCAAAAATTTATATATTTGGAACTTATTAAATATTGTCCCATACAGGCATTGGCAAGTTTGTCAACGCATTTTACCAAAGTGCACTCGAGACAATGTATGGATGAAGCAGAGATTGCCGATCACATAGTTGGTTTAACATCCAGTCTTGCTAGTTGCCAATTCAGGTGAGCCTCAGAAAGTTCATTTCACTATTATATACATTAAAGTAGTTTTGCTATTTCCTGTTTAAAATTTCAGTCTATTACAAGGGCTGTTGTTGTTAAGCATTCTGTTTCATTAGTATATTTAAAATTGCATCACATCTTTTATTATCCTTATAGAAGAATACATTCTGACACTCTAGATTTATACTTTTGATCAAAGAACCTTTTAATTACCAAACACATTGCATATACATGTTGAAGATATTATTACAGTAACCTTTAAATGTTAAAATTCAACTTGGTTTCTTTCCGTTCCTCTTTAACTTGTGTGGCATATACTTTAGTTCATGCAAATCCTTGCACAAATAAACATGCTATTGTTGGACTGGTCTTTTTTCCTTTGCATTCCTTTTTAAGGGCATTAGATGAGAAAGTATGAAGTTTTGCTCAAGTTTGGCTTATGCTTAGCTCCAGTTCAATCTGATTCAAGAGAAAAAGATCAATTTGAATTGGATCTTTTTCATCTTATCTGAAGATAATCCAGGTCATTGATTTTTACTATCTTCCTAGATCTATGCAAGCAAACATACAGATCTAATGTGTAAATTTAAATAAATATGCGTGTGTATTAAAGTCACCAAATTATTTTTATAACACTTTTAATCTTTGTTCTCTAAATATAGCTAAATGTGTTGATTCTTTCTTCGAAAATCTAAAATAATTTGATTATTTTTTAAATAAAAATAAATTTTTAGCGTGTTTAATTTCTCATCCAAAGGGGTTTGTTTTTGAAGCTCCGGTGTTCTAATTTATGATCAAACTTATATCAAAATTCTTGATACATGAAAAACTTGCTAATGTGAAGCTTCTTTTGCAATTTATTCTGCGTATTTCAGATGTGGTCATTTCAATCATTGATATTTACCCTTACTAAAAATATGAATTTAAATTTAAGTTCATGTTTAATTTGTGCACTTCATGCATTATCACTGTGTTTTTTGCTTGTGCTCATTTGCACTGTATATAGGGCTGCATATTTTTTTATAATTCATTTTTTTAAAAGGTTAAATATATATCATATATTATTGAAAAGTTGGGTAATATCAACTTTTAATTAAATTAACAATAAACATATACAATGTTAGGCAATTGGCCACATACAAGATGATCATATTATACAAATAAGTGGGAGCGAAAATCACTTGCAAGAGACCAAGAGGGGTTAGACGGGTTCAAATTAATACGAAATTTAAGAGGATTATTTGGAAAATAGTTTGATGCAATGGAGGGGAAATTGGATGTGAAATGTGGTACACAACGATAAGGAACATATATGGACTTTATGACAAGTTTCTCTGGAAGAGCGTTTTGTAAGGGCTTATCCAGTTTTTGTTTTATTGTGTTAGGAACATTTGAGGGCTTAAAAGCATCAAGGGCTTAGTGTTTATAGAAAGATGCTGATTAAGATGTGTGAAGAAGACTTGATAAAGGTACTGTTATGATTAGAATATATCTTAATGCATATTTTTTCGATAAGAATTCCTTGGATTCAGGAACTTTGACTTTGATATCAATTATTGTACAGCGGGCTTGCATGTATTGTTTTTGTAGTGGACTTTTGATATCTGATTTGTCATGAAGAAAAAAATTTAATGTAGAGGAAAAAACCAACAAGATGAAAGAGAAAAGGACTGAGTATTAGAAATTTGAATGCCTCAGAGATAAGGAGGCATGAGGTTGCAGAAAGTAAGTATTATGGAACCTTAAGAAAAGGGGGTAACGAATTCTTCGTAAAAGAAATGCTTTTTTAATCCCATTATCAAACATTTGATTTACAACTCTCTTTGGTCATTTTTTAAACTTTGATGTGGATTGACTTTTAGCAAGTAATGATTTGTTTGCGTTTGAGAGACACTTTTAGCAAGTTGTGGGACCACAAATATGGTGGTTAATCATTGTGGATAAGTTGACAATTCATGCGCCTCTTCAAAGAGTGGACATCCCTCAGCTTTTTTTGAGAAATAATAATGTTCAAGCTATAGATTATTCTCTTTAATCTCAGTATAAGTGGTAGTTTTCATAAGTATAAGCTGCCAAAAATAACCTAAAATCTATGGGAATTTTACATGCATACCACACGATTTTTTTGTATTTACATATCTAACACCAGAAGTTTGATGTTTACATTTATAACACCCTGTTGTCTGATAGAAAAGAGATAGCTTCCATCGGGATTAGGGCAAAGAAAATATTTCATTTAACCAGCATAAAAACATTACAACTCAAATGCATAAAAGATAAATACCTACAATTCGAGAGATAGGTGATCTCCCCCCCCATACCCAATCCTAGATTCAAGACAACAATCACACACATAACCTAACCTTAAACATATTAAGCCTTATTTATATCCCACAATAATAACTAAAATATGGATAAATTACCCTTTTAGTCTTGCGCTTAACAAAGTTCTTTATAAATTATTTGATGGGCTTGGTGTCGACTCAGTAGAGCATGAGGCGGTTGGCACTATAGATGCCCATTTAACAATGACATAAACCTTTGCATGAAAAGTTGTATTTCACTTTTAAAAGATAGTGATGTTGTTACTTTTGATGTGATGTTTAAAATTTGAGTGGTATGCATGTAAATATGAATGTTTAGGTGTTAGATATTTAATGACATAAGAATTGTATGGTATGTATGGAATGCCCCAAAATCTTATTGTATAAATAGTTGGACAAGGCTTTCAATTAAATACACACAAAATTCCATTTTTTTTGCTTCTCTATTTTCTAGATTGCTCATGAGCAACCTGTACAGGGTATGACACTCCAATGGAAGTATTGTTTCTTGCTTGCGCTTTTAATGTTAAACAGTACGGTTGCATTTTTATGATTATATGACGTTGCTCTTCTTTGTCCATTTCTTTTTCAAAATTTATATATGGTTTTCGGTTACAACAGTTTTTTTGACTATTTATTAAAGCTTCATTTTCAAAATATATAACTGTCTTTTGAATTTTATAGAAGCTTATGTTTTTCTTAAGCGGCCTTGGCTGCTTTTATAATGATTTTGGGTTAGTTCCATCCATCTGAATTTTGGGACTTAGATGCCTGTACATCTCAATCATTCTTTATAGTTGATTTAATGGAGGTTTCTTTGTTTACAGGAAGAAGTTGACATGGCTTTCTGTGAATGCTAATGGATCTATCATTTCCAAGGACTTCATTGATAGGAAGCTAATTAAAAATAATGTCTGGTAACTTTTTATTACTGACTGATTATCTTGACACCTGCATTATAATTTCTATGAATTTTACTTGCAATTTGCTTACTTATAGTGAATCTCTTCATAACCTCAAATTTGTGCTCTGCTGTAGCAAAATCTCTTCATAAATTTATTGTGTTTTAAGAAAATTTTCATATGCCACTGGACTGCTTCATTGGTTATATTCCACTGCAGAGGATGATGCCTTTTTTTCACTTTTACTGTTATATTTTTGGTTCAGTAATTGCGTGACAATTGATGCTTGTCAAATTTAATAATGCTCTTCATATTGGTGTGTTGTATTGTTCATCATTGTATACATCAGTAGATAATTCATCTAATCAAGCATGAATCTTTATGTAATTATTTTTTTGGTTTTTCTTAAAGATTTGGAGTCGCCAACTTGTCTATTTATATGTTGCATATAATTTTTTTTATTCGAATAAATCTCCCTTCCGAAGAGAAATTGAAAAGAAAGATATACTACAATAAATAGGAATACAAATAAAAGGAAACTAGCGAAAGAATTATATATGGTTAATTCCCGTATAATGGATCGAGAGTATATGTCCGAACAGGATCGAATCAAAGTACTTCGTAACATAATATTCATGAAGAGAATCTCTAGATAAGTCACTCATAAAAATAACATTTTTATTCTGGGCTCAAGTGTCCCTCAGAGGAACGTATCCCTCTGGTTAATTACATCCTGGGCGATACCCAAGAATACTTTCGATAAAGGGAAATTCGCTTATATTATGAATAGTTCATCAAAAAGTGGGTATTCCATATGGGAACGCCCGGATGCTTCAAAAGTCTCACTAAGCCACAACGCAGAGAGTGAGTCCTTCGCATCCCAAATGGGTAGCTACTCGTCCGCATCAGAACCTACGAATTAACCAAAATAATCTCGACAGGGATATCCCTATACGTCAGAGCTGACCGGGTCATAAGGGCAGAGAGTAAATCACAGTATCCCAAACGGGCGGTAACTTATCGGTAATCAAGCTGTGAAGATGATAACAATGTAGTCAAAGCAGCGATAGGGCTCAACAAGTGTAAGGATAGAGGTAGCCGGGTCGGGGTACCATGGACTCGTCATCCCAAGCTACTAGGACCCTAAGTCTACCTGGTCGTGAAGGTAGTCGACCCAACATGTCCAGAGATCCTCGGTCAGCAATCTATGAATTGCGTTATCCACGGGGATTTCGGTAGCCCTAAGTTCAGAGGAAGGAAACTCTATCTCATAACTATAAGGTGGAGTCCCAAGATGTGGGACTTATACCAGTCAAAGTGACGCGGATGCTGCTGAAAGAAAGGAAAGAAAATGTTCAGCTATAAAGTTGAAACGCTCTCCATGAAAAGACTTACCCCCGTCTAGGTCGAGATTCTTCTAACACCCTAAACATACTAGACAACCTCCTAAGTAAAAATTTATGCTGGGCCAATCAGGTTGAAGAAGCTCGGCGGCTTCTCCTTGGGACATGCTAATGTGATGCAATTATTTACCACAATCCTAAGCGTGGAGGCCCTAAATATTTTTTTAAGATTTTGTAGCAAATTTAGAATTTTAAATCATAAATATTTTATTTTATATTCATGATTCTCAGACAAACCACAGAAAGAAATAATGAAAGTTCACTTAAAGCGTGCAAACATGCGATAGAAAACAAGAAAATAAGTCAGATCAAAATAATAAGAAAATGTTAATATCATTGTATCGGCAATATATCCCAGAAAAGAAAAAGGCGGTCAGACTCCACATATACATGCCCAGTCCTAAACCTATACATCAATATCAAATGCGGAATTAAGATACGGGACAAGCATCTGTTCCTGGTTCCCCGCCACGTGGTTCCCGCGCCAAAACACATCGGAACCCGTGCCCATATCTTGTTTCCTCTACAAGACTCTTCTAAGGACTCTAAAAAGTATATATGAAAAAAAAAAAAAAAAGATTTGACCTGCATGAAAATATGTTAGCACAAAAAGCTACATGCAATGTGTCTAAGCTAGTGGTGTAAACGAGCGAACACGAGCGAGCCCAAACTCAGCTTGTGTTCTGCTCGTTTGCTTAGCGAGTCCAACATGAGCTGTTCACGAACAAAGAGTCGTTTTGACAACCCTAATCACCTAGCCATAAAATTAAGGGTTGGGGCAAGATTTAAAAATTATTGTTTATATTAAATAATCATTTGAATCTAATTAATAATGTTTATTCTATTTTCTTAATTAATACTTTTAATTGATTATAAATCTTTGTAGTCTTGTAGTAAATTAATTTTTTTAAAATACTACTCATCAATATATATATAATTGATGAGTAGTATTTTGAGCCAAAACGAGCCGAACACGAACGAACAAATCTTTGTTCGTGTTCGGCTCATTAACTTAGCGAACGAGCCAAACACGAGCTGTTCACGAACGAGCCGTTTTGACAGCCTCAGTCTGAGCCATGTCTGGTGAGAGAGCTAAACAACACTTGCAAACAAAAGTTAGCATGTAAATCATCACATCCTTTCCCATTTTATTGTACTTGTGTGCGTGTGTATATATGTCATGACTCCCTGTAGAAGATCGACTTAATATTTTACCATGCATATTAAAAAATCGGCACACACAAGCACACCAAAAGCACAAAAATTGTGCTTGAGTAGAATAAACAAGCCAACAGAGAACTATAGTCAGAGGCGTTGAAAATACTACCTAGCAACCTACTCTTGGCCTAGCGCACCATCTAACAAAAAGTGTCTTAATCAGCATCTAAGTACATATAGTAAATTCTTTGGTTAGTGCATGACTTTGATGGGGCCGACATCAGCTCTGTTCTAAAGATCCAAGGGATTCAAAGCACGTCACAAGAAAGTGGTGGCACTTAAAAAGGTGGCTTCACATATGGCCTACCATATGTTTATTTTTAAAATAGGTGAATAATACTTATAATAGCAAAAATGTTTAATTTTTATATTTTAAAATAACTAATATTTTTAAAATAGGCGAGTATCACGACCAACAAATAGATCACTTTCTTAACGAAGGCGAATGGGCAAGCATAAAAACATGTAAGAAGCTCACATTGTGATTGTTCGACCACGAAACATTCACAACGGGTGCCCAAAAGGGGGAAACACACATCTTGCAAATGAATAAAAAGATATTACATGCAACATGACATCATGAACGGGATGTACCGCTAAAACAAACTACCTATGGAAAGGAATTACACTTGCCCGGAGGATTCGGTGTGCCATGCGATAAGTAGCACCAACTACGAGTGAGTTTGCATCAAGTAAAATGATAATGATGAAAAGGGTCTACTCTTTACCCGAGAGTCATTCACCGAGTGCACATGGAAAAATACAAAATATGTGTCAAGCATATAAGAACAGTCAAGCATACAGAAATGCAACAGACATACGAGAAATGTCAAGCGTATGACATACAAATAACAAGCATACAGAGATGTTAAGTGTCAAACATACTTACTGATGTGATTTTTACAATTGAGAATCACACACCTTGCTGCACACACATTGTGCCTCGCACAAAGTTTTGTGGCTAGGAAGCGTGAGTCGTGCTTAACACAAAGTGAAATACCTACGACCCTCTAGGCGTCTCCCTATGAGCCTGCTCCTCTCAAAGTGTGCAAGTGTCAATCCCCGTGCATACAACATCGAATGTGGGGAAGACACTCACAAGTGTGGACACTTAAAGAGACATAAGTGGTGGTGCTCAAAGTGACACACCAAATATGGATCTTCAAAGAGACATTCAAACATGCCACTTGCAAAGCATACAAGACAAGACTATTATACATATAACAAAATAAATCATAGGCATCAAGTTAAAAGATTTTTCATACATATACAAAGAAAACATGCAACATGCAACGTGCAAGAAAGTATACAAGCATACAAGTGATCAGTTAACCGAGCTGTGGCTGCCTGTCAAATTGAAAGGATGGTTCGATTGATCCGGGACAATCGATCGGACCCAAAAGAGTAGGTGATCGGCTTGGAACGACTGATCAAACCCAAAGAGATTGATCAAACTAGGGCGATTGGTCAAACCTGAAAGATTGGGCGATCGAGCCTAGGCAGTCAATCGAATCGGGGTGGCCGATCAGACCCAAAAGCGGGTGATCGAACTAGGGCGGTCGATGAACCTAAAGGATTTGGTGATTGGTCCGGGAAGACCGATCAAATTCAAAGCAGGTGATCGACATAGGGCGGTTGATAGAACTCAAGTGCTCATGCGATCAAGCATACAAAATGCAAAATGCCACAAATGAGCATGCAAGCAATGAAACCCAAAACACTTCGACAACTCGTCAAACTCATCCTATCAACCTCGCATAGGTATTTAAGGTTTAGCAGATGAATATGCGGCATAGTTGCCTCATACTTTGGCGAGTCGTGTGGGGAGCTTCATCTTCAGGTTTCAAAAGAAAACTTTACACAATATTATGGAATGGACTAGCTACAAAGTTTTTCTTATTCCCTAATTCCTCATGATTTTGCAAAGCGAGCTAGCTACAAAGCTTTTCTCACTTCACAAAATCCAAATATCCAAACCCCTCCAAGGAGGGTTGGAAATGCCAAAGCAAGGGGAAATTGGGATTCCAACCTGCTTGGGATTTATGTCTAAGACTTACACGGGAAACTTTCGAATTCTCTACGAAAGCTTTCTAACCTAGAGTTTCTTCTAGGAAATCAATGATCAATCCTAAGGCGTATGGTCGTGCCGACTAGTGTCGTTCGGCCAACTGGCCTCGTGTGGGCGTTTCTTCACGTAGGATGAAGTTCTTCTAGTGGTAGGATAGATGGTGATGTTCCGACGAAGCTCCGGCGAGGTCTGCTCCACTTCTTCTCTAAAGAACGAAGAAGCTCTCCTTTAGAATGAGAGTCCGACAAGATTCCGACGACGTTCTAGTGAAGCTCCAACGATCCTTCCCCATGCTAGGATGAAACTTTCCTTTAGTGTAGGAGAGA